AAGGGAAAGAAAGAGGGAATCTTAATATCCAATATATGCTACAATACGCGATAAAAGAGAGGCTAGCAGTCTGTTTTCTTTCAAGCAAGATATAAATTATTAATATCGCCAGCAAACGGTCTTCAAGTATCTCTGAATCCACTATTATTATTACAATTCCGAGAAGATGTATTTTCATCATCTCAGAATTTTCTCCGTAAGGAGCTTAATTTGAAAAACAATTATTAGAAGTGCTGATTTTCAAAGATATTGATATTTACTTCATTCGTATGTACGATACGTTCCCTCGATATTCATACCAGTCTCGATCTTTATCTTGATGTATTCACGCGAGGCGAGGCGAGTGAAATTAACAACGTCGACGATTACCTGGTGAAAGATTTGCGATGCAAATATGTACGATATGTTCGCGGCGAATATAATTAGGCGTTACGACGGCTGTTGCAAGTTGGCGGCTTCTTTTCGGCTCCCTACGACACCTCACAAAGCAACGCCGGCATCGTCCTTATCGCCGGTTGTAAATATCCGATTCGTCCGCTGGGAAAATGAAGGTGCGGTAAAGTTTCAACGCGCTCTATCGCGCGCCGAATCCGAGCTGGGCTGCGAACGCGAATAAGCTAATCGCGCGAATGCGAAAAATACGCAGGCTGCGCGCTCGTAAATAGCCCTGCGTGCCCTGCGTGCGTGCGTGTGCGCAAATTTAACGAGAGCGCTGGCATACACGCCGGAAGCTACGCGCGATAGTCGTAAAAAACCTGACAGATAAACGTCGGATGCGGTTTCGCGACGCTTCTTTTCTGTCCACGGTTCGGGGCCGTGTCCCGCGGGGGGTGCGTGGGCGTGTGTGGTCGAGTTCAAACAAACGCTATACGCTGTCATTCACGCGAGTCGAACTTTTTCTCGTGATTCACGTTCGCGTCCAGTCAACATATTAGGTTAAGTAAAAAGTCATCGCGTTTTTTTAAAAGACATCTATCAGTAAAAACCGCAATTACTTTCTTACCAACAATATAAATATATCTTAATAGAGTAAAGTTACAGCTTTAAAAATCTCTTTTTTAAATTATACGATACGACAATTTTTAATGGAGTTATGAGCAATTAAAGTCAAAATAATTCTTTTATTTAATCCGCGATAACTCAGTAATCAAAAGTCGTAGGAATATTAAAAAAAAACGATTTTGTAGGGAAAGTATCAAGCTTTCACGATAGGTAATCGAAAATTTTCTCAAATTCGTTTTGGACACGTTACAAATCCACAAAGTGAGAAGAAAATTTTTCGTCTTTTTCAGCTCGTAGTTTTTGGTATGTAAAAATTATCAAACTCATATAAACTTAAAAAATGTGATAAGCTTTTAAAAGTAGAGATTTCAAGCTTTAAACCCCTTTTTTTAAATTTGAATTTCATTCATTATTGACGAAGATATTGTATATACAACTTTGAGCTAAAAAATACGCGATGACTTTTTACTTAACCTAATATATGCATGCTTTCGACGAATTCGATTGTACGGACACGCCCCGGATAAACGCGATCGCCGCTGCTTTCTGCGTCGATGAGACGAGAGTCCTAACCCCAAGAGGTTATATATATATATATTTATATAATTCTATATTTATGTAATTCGTTATGCGCAATCCTACGCTTAACGCGGCAGCACCTCGTTCGCGTGCGTGTATCGTGACATTTGTGATATGGCAACGACAAATAAGAGATCATCCCTCTTCAGAAGCCTCTTTCCAGAAATTCAGTATAAACGTGCACACTTTTGTTTCCAGCGAATAACGCAATATGGCTCTCTAGATTAGCGAGTGTCTCTTGAAGAAGGTATAATAACACTGATAAATTTTAGAAACAAAAAAATCGACACGCTGACTCTCATGGCAGTTAACCTAATTTTTCAGTGATGTCCCGCGGTCAATAATGACCAATGCTACATTTAAAAATAAATTTGTAAAACGCTCGTAAGACATAAATCTAGTATAAATTTTAACGTCGCCGTTCCGTTAATATAAAAGTCAATAGTACACGTGTCAAAATTTTTAACATTTTTGAGATAAAGGAAGTTGATGCTAATAAAAAAATATTTTTAGAAAAGCAATAAATTTGTGCCAACAAGTGTTTGTGTGGAAAAATATGATAACTCGAAATTTTAATAGTATTTGTGTGAGTAATACTAATTTATTTACTTACGCAAATAAATATTTACTAAATAAAAAAAGTGATAGTTGGATGAAATTAATGTTCTTGTATGTTTAGTAAACATTCAGATAGTATTATTCAAACAACTATTTATTAAAATTTTGTACATTTTTCTCTCGGTATAAAGTGACAGTGTTTAAATTTTGAAAACTCATGACATAGGATATATTATAACTGTATACAACATGGAAAAGAAAATGAATTATATGTGTATTTTCTATCCTAATTAAAACATTCTTTCAAATCGGAATTTTAAAAATAATTTACTGAAAAAAAGGTGCTAATTGTGTAAAATGTGCTTCTTCTCTCGGTTATATAGATATAACAATGCAATGTAAAGAATACTATTCATCATTTAATAACTATTCATCATTTAATAATTTTAAAAAAATCATATTACACATTTTTCGTATTATAATGAAAATTCTATTGTAGCGTACACAGTAAAATTACAAAACTCGCTGGACGAATAATTCATAATAAAGTTGTTCTCGGCTTTTTAGAACTCGAAATTAACATTTTAAATTACAGTAATTTCGTGAAATTATATAATTAAGTAATAAATTAAACAAATTTATATGTATATCATTAATGTGAAAAGAATAATTTTATATAAAAATTTAGCTACGTACAAAACCGACAATAATTCTGTTGGACCATCAAAATAATTATGTAGAATTATGTTCAAGCATAATGAGTGATGCTGTAAAAAGTTTTTAAATTTTAGCAAACAGCTCGGACGTCCTACATAATTATTTTGTCGGTCTAACAAAATTATCTTTAAATCTGTAAACCCAGCTAAAATTTTAAATACTTTAGCAAAATTATTCCTTCCTTTACTTCACACTAATTGTAAAATATGCTTATATCTAGATTCTCATTAATAATTCATCCTATTTCATGCGTGTAATTAAAATTATCGCATATGCTATGCAATGCGTAAGTGTTTTGCTGATATGAACTTCCATGTGAACTCCAAGGCATCTAACCATCAAGAAAACGCAACAGCAGATTTGTACAGTCAACTGGGATATTAAGCAAATAAGCATCCGCCATCCCGCGGGATAACAATGATTGCACTGTATTAAGCACTCTCGGTGTGTACACATCCGATAAATCATAACGCGTCTAGCTGCAAATCGTGGCGCATCCTGTCTGCGAATCTATTCTAACCCGAGAGCGTACTAAGAAATTTTAACTTGAAATATTGTCGTTTGAATACAGTCGTAAATCATCCGTATCACGGTATCGCGAAAGGCGTAAACACGTTTGTATTTCCGTTAGGGATCAAGAATTGATTTCATCTTTTCTCATACACGGAAAAAATAGTTTTGCTGAAGTACCTAAAAATAATTTTAATTGTTTTAATGTAGGACGGTCCAACTAGTTGTTAGAATATTAAAACTTTATGCAGCATTGCCAACACTTGAGCATTCTACAGTTAATTATTTCGGCGATTCAACAAAATTATTTTCAAATTTGTATCTAGCTAAATTTTTAGATACATTAAGAAATCTAACTAATTGAAAATAGACGAATTAAAAGATTCTGATTATATTAATTAGAATTCCGGTTGTCGCAATTAGAATTCTAGTAAGTTTAACAAAAAAAATTCGAATTCGTCCACTTTCAACCAGAATTCTAACGAGACATTTTTCTCATGCCCATGTCAATCAATGTAGATAAATATCTTACTACCTTAATCTCAGTTCTAATTCTTCGTCTTTTTTCTACATCTTAGAACTAAGAAAAATCTTAGAATTTAGATAAAAGAAAAAATAGACTATCGATTAGTATTTCTACTGGAGATCGACGATTCTCCTGCCCCGGAGATCGATACTTATTATAAATAGTAATCGAAACTGCGGAAGAATAGAAATCTTTAAAAAAATCGATCATTGAATATGACTCTCCTGTGACAAATATCTTTCAGAGGAAAATCAACGCTTTGACTTGAAATTTTTTACGCGTGTCAGAGATTTGGTCAAAAAGCCGAAGTTTCCGCTCGAAAACCGGAGAGATGGTAACACCGTGCTTCCGACAGGCACTTATTTTTTGTGATCTATCTAGTTTTTCCGTTGGCTCTCAAACGAGAAGTATATTAAATATTCTTCGAGCATCAATTTTTCACGTCACGTTTGAAATAGCAACGAATCGCTCAATTTTTCACAATTTATCTGTCAAGGAAAGGTTATCGAACTCTGTTCAATTTCACGAAGGGAGGACTTATTAAATAGCACATAGATCCTCACGCATTGCTTTCGACTGTTAACGACTTTCCGCCAGCGTGGATTTGCATAGGAAGACAGCAGAGAGAGAGAGAGAGAGTCTATGGTAAGAGAACAGAATCACAGTCAAGATCCCGTCGTCCAAGCCGAACCCGGAGAAACGACGCGTTGTGTCTCTTTTCCTCTCCCCTTTCTCTTTCTTCCTCTTTCCCTCGGATCCGCCTTCGCGCGCTGCAGAGGAGCAGCATACGGCAACGTGAAGAGGATAAGGACAGAAGGCCGATGGAATATATGCTACGCGCTCGTTGAATGCTCGTTTGCAGTATTCACAGAGGGATCCGACCGAGAGAGAGAGGGAGAGAGAGAGAGAGAGAGAGAAACGGAAAAAGAGTCAAGAGGAAGGAGAAAGCCTCGTCTGAACAGAACGGAATAGAAGGAAGAAACGCAGAGAGAACAGAAGAGAGAGAGGGAGGGAGAGAGAGAGAAATTCGGCGGGCCGGTGAGGCTGGTCAATGAAAGACCGTGCGGCTATCGTGCAACCCTTCTCGAAAACAAAGCCGGATTCTCACCTTGATTTATCGTTTACTCCCGGCCGCTGTGCTCCACTCCGCTTATAACTTAGACCGAGCCAGTCGCAGCCTGGTAGCTGCTCTCGCACCCTGGCGAGAATTAATCCATTGTCCCTCTCGTGTCCTGATAAAAACGCCCCGGCCGGCCCGCTCGATTCTAAACACGCCGGATGATAAAACACGCTCGATTCCACGACGATAGAACCAGTTCGTCGGTCGGTAGTCACTTTGCCGTGCTGCCGGACAGAGGCGCGCGTGTACGCGCGAAGAACACGAGTGAGCGATCGAGAATGACGAGAACACTACATCAGATCCGTAAACATCGGGCAGCGTTTACATACGGCGCGGCGCGCGCACATGGAGCGTACGCGGTGGGCGTGTAGGTGTGTACTGGTATGTACCACCGAATTCGCGTTTACGCACAGGCAGACACAAGTGGAGCTGATTTCTCCAAATATTATTTTACTGCTGGAGCATACGGCGCGCGCGCGCGCGCGCGCTCGCTCACGGAATGACGAGAGTCGGGAGAAAGAAGTGACGCGCGCGCGGCACTCGCGTAGGAAAACGGCAGCCGCGCGATCCTACCACGACGACGTACACGGACTCACTGACTCCGAATTCCGAGTACTCCGGCTACTCCGAGCTCCGAGGCGACGCGAACCCGAGCGAGGAGACACGAGAGAGAGAGAGAGAGAGAGAGAGCTACGGAGTCAACGTCGTCGTCGACAAAGTCAAAACGATCGTCGCCAGCCGCGGGAGGGACAGAGAGAAAACGAGCCGAACGAGCGGCGACGTGGAAGGGGAAGCGACGAAGCGGCGACTGCCACTCTCTCGTACGTTTCCGTCGCTCTTCGGCCACGGCTACCGGCCTCTCGGCCCCCCTCCCTCTCCCCACCCTTCTGGCCCCTACCAACAGCCTTCCCTTCGGCTTGTATAGGTATACGCTGTGCCGGCTATACGCCAGCGAGCAGTGCACCGTCATGCATCTCTCATCCCTTGGACGCTGCCTGCGCTGCTCTTGCCGCCGCAGCCTCTCTACTACTCGACTCTGTTTAGCCATGCACGCGCGCTCGACGCTCGTGTACGGCGCACGTGCATGTATCTATACGTATGCGGACGGATACGCGTATACAACTGTGCATGCATACTCTCGCGAGGAGTCGCGCGGACGGAGCGGGCGGGCGTAGCACCTCGTCGTGTGGTGGTGGCGATGCGGTGCACCACCTGTGTGTACTTACAGTACATGCACGAGCGCGCGTACGTACACGATGCGGAACGTGCGGATGCACATCCATCCCCCTGCCCCCCCCCCTTCGACCTCGACGCAGGGCATCGTCGGGGCCACACACCACACGCGCGCGGTGACGTCACGCGGCTGGACGCTGCGCCGTGCCGTGTGGCGTGGATAACGAGAGACGGTCGGCCAGGATCCCTACCCTTCCTCCTTCTTTCCCTCTGCCTCCTTTTCTGCTCCGAGTCTTCGGGATTCACGACCACTTATTATCGGTCTGCAGTTCTCTTTCTTCCTTTCTTTACTTCTCTCTCTCTCTCTCTCTCTCTCTCTCTCTCTCTCTCTCTCTCTCTCTCTCTCTTTCTCGTCTCCTTTCCAAGCCGAGCCCGAGCGACTTACTGCTTTCTTTTCAGGCTGGTTACGAGCGGTGAGACGCGGTCATCCCCTCGGCTCGTAGGTGGATTCGCTCTCGCGTGGTATTAACGACGTCCCGTGTAGGTACAGTCACGACCGGTTCCAAGGAGGACCTACCTACCTCCTCGTATCGAGATCGAGGCTCGAGGACACGAAGCGGACGAGTTCGACGATCCCGGGTCCGCGTGCGCGGGTCGACGCGATAAACTTTCCAATTCGCGTGTCGCTGCCGGCAAATGATGCCTACCGTGTCGTCGCTGCGAACGGTTCGTCGCTGCACGACGGTAAACTTCCATCGATAAAGGCGTCTGTAAAAATGTATGATTAAAACGGTCGACTCTGGTGGGAGAGGCGAATTAATAAGTAACACCCTCGCCGTCGTCGTCATCTGGAATACCTGCGAGATATGAAGCCATTTAAACGCCGCGAGAAGCTTTTTTGTCGCAGGATTCCGGCTAAAAATACCGTCGACCTTCGTTTTTTCTGCCTGACTGCTCGCCATTCCGTTCGTTATCGCGCACGAGAGTGACGCCGGTGTAAAATGGAGCCGTTCAGCATCATTGCGCAGAGAGAGAGAGAGAGAGAGAGAGAGAGAGAGAGAGAGAGAGAGAGAGAGAGAGAGAGAGGGAGAGAGAGAGAGAAAGGTATCGCGTAACTGTCTGCCACCGGATTTTATGCGCTTTCGCGAACGTCACGTTGCGCCCACGGTATGGACGTTCGTAGTAGACACGCGTGCGAAAAATTAGGCGTGTGAGAGATGTCGTTTATGTGTTTCGAAAGGAAAAAAAAAGACGGGGAATTGGCATGTTTATTACGGTTGTAAATTCACTTACAATATGCGAAAGGTCGAATATTATATTGTACGTTGAATTTTCCGTAAGTTCAAATTTTACGATATATCGCTTCTTTTCTTCAAAAATAACACAAAGAAACATGATTTTTGAGTTATTGCACAGAAAAAAAAACGATTTTGCTGAAAGATTAAAGATTTTTCTGGATACACACAGATCTGAAAGTAATTCGATTGAACCTTCAAAATTATTTTGTTAGAAACTACAGAATATCTAATTTTTTTCAGCTCATTTGTAGTTTCTAACAAAAATTATTTTAATGGTCCAACAAAATTATTTTCCAATCTATGTAAAAGCAAATTTTTTTTTAGCACAATCGATCTTTTCATGGATGAGCTAGGCAAAACATTATCTTATCAATCATCAAAAGTGAATTAACTTTATAAAAAGTGGTTGAAATCGTCACAACTCAAAAAGGCTAATTTTTTTAAGGATTGTAAATAAAAATAATAAAACTATCATCATGTTATTAAAAATATATTCTTTTTATCTATATTGTGTAAGTATAGTTAATAATTTTTTGTTAAAAAATAGTTTTTTTCTTTCCTGGAAACTTAATTTTTTGAATTGTGTCACTTTTGAAACAAGTAAGCGTCATATGTTCTGAATTTTTTATTTTTATACAAGTCTCTACAAAGTAAGTAATAGTATAATACGAGGGAACAGTACAGTTATAAAGGTAGAGAACAAAGCTCATATACTGATTTAATTTGAATGTAGTTACACCATAAAAAATAAAATATTAATTTTTATTTAAAGACTGTAGTGAGACTTTCTGAGATACAAAAATGTTAAGACTAAATCTGTTAAGTTAAACTTAATAGTTTATTTTTTACAGTGATATGATTTTGTACAGTTGAAGTTAATTTAAAAAAGACATACTATAAAGGACATAATAACAAAATGTAGAAAAAGAATCATGGAAGGCATCAAAAACATTTCCTATATCAAAAATCAATTTCAAATACATTAAAGAAGCTTTATTGTTGAAGCTGCACATATTTGCGATAGCATATCTCGCATATGCCAATAGCAATAATCTTTCACAAATTCATTCATGCTAAACATTCGTTTCGACGCTCTCAATGTCAAACAAATTCCGTATCGTATCGCGATCCAACGTCAATCCTTCGAAAATCCTTTCTTCATAGCTCGCGCATAGACGTCACTATGGATAGGTTCCTCGCGAGTATATACCTACGTTGTCGGGTTTCCTTTCAGACGACGGTAATATCCTAGTCGTCGTAATATTCTGGCTGATATCAGCGACGGGCTGCGAGAGGACACAAGGCTCTCAGGACCATCGGGCTTTTCTCCGCTGGCTAAGGAAATGACAAGAGGAAGGTTTTGGGTTAGCGATTCCTCTTCAACGTCCGCACGTCTGCATCTCAACGTAGCAAAGGAACGGCGACGACGGTTCGACTCGGGACAGGTTCCGATTACCATTTCGCGAGGCTTCAGACGTAGAGTCTAGACGTTACTCTCGACCGGACGGCGAATGTAATTCCCCGTACGAGCCAGGTGGTCCGTTGCAATCTCTCGGCTAGTAATCGGATCGAGAGGGTAAAGAATGAGAGAGGAGGGATGGCACGGGGGGGAGTTTAAAGGTCAAAAGAGGAATGGCGATTCGACGAGGTCATGTGAATTCCTTTCCGCGAATTTGCATCGCAGTAGCTTAGTTTCAATTAGCTGTATACCAAGATGTGACTGTCTCATGGAAAAAAAAAAAACGATTTTGCTAAGTATCTAAAACTTTAGTTAGATACAAACTTGAAAATCAGTTTATCGGATAATGAAAATAATTATGTAGAACGCTTAAAGAGGATCCTAAAGTCGTCCGACTAAATCGTTATTTTTGTATAACAATTACTTCTTTCCTCTTTTACAGATTCGAAAATCCTTTCACAGGATTAAAGTATATACGCATTAATACGTGTCTGTGAGGTGGAGTTTATGCCGAGGACGACAAACAAATTTTTTTTTAAGCTTATAAATTCAAAATTTTTTTTCGTTCTATGTTAATCTCTATTAATGTGTATACTTTAATCGTGGAAAGGGATTTTCGAGTCTGTAAAAGAGGAAAAAAGTAATTGTTATACAAAAAATACGACTTTAATTTTGGAAAATCTTTTTTGTTAGACTTTCGATCATAATTTCGCAAACTCAGGATTGTTTGTGTATGTCACACGCTTCCGGGGAAGATATTATTTGGTACGTACGACGTACAGAATTTCTGCACTAAGAGAATTATATTGTAATTTGAGGTGACAGCTGTAAGAGCTGAAATAAAGTGAATTTTCTATTTTTCCCCCGATTTTCTCGTCAAATTTAGTGTAGCCAGTGTTTTTTTCGTGCGTACTTTTATTATGTAAAAGGATTTGATGATCTATAAAGCCAATTCGGAGAACTTGGCAATCTGCAATTGCCGGTAATTCCTGTTGATTTAGGATCTTCTTAACACGGAAATAGTCTTGAATTTATTTTATACATAAATGATCATCTGATGTTTTGATACCCTAATTAAAATTACTATTATTAACAACATATTACATATTATTAATTATTTTCCGATTAATTAATATTTGAGAACATTACGGACTTTTATGCTTTTAGAGTGTATTTAGCATATAGTTTACATTACGTATACTATAGAATTTCAGACAAAAAAGTATATTCATTAATAAAAGCGCGTTCTGAATACAGGCCTATAATTTAATCACACTTTTATAAAAAAAAAAAGTAACTAGAAACAAGTATAAATTTATTAAATAATCTGATATAATAATATTTTTTTAAAATAAATTAATATAACGCTTTTTATGTTTTTTCAAGTTTTTTTAAATAAAATTACATATTTAAAGGTACGTAAAGAATAGTTATTAAAAAAGAAACATACGTTAAACAATATTTTACAACAAATCATATTTTTTCGTTGCTGGGATGAAAAATATCCCAGATGATTTTTCCCGGGTTAAATGTTGATAACAATGCAAAAAGTTTTAATATTCTAGCAACCATTTTGAATCATATACATACACGGAGAAAAATATTAAGTAATATGCGTTAAAATTCTAGTAATTTTATGAAATTGAGAGGTC